GTATAGCCCACACTGAAAACCATCCAAATATCCAGCCACAGGAATGGAGAGACTGGTGGAATACTACACAGCACTAATAACGCGCAAGTTACTGCTACACGCAACACCATGGGTGAATCTCAGACATAAGTGTGAGTGAAAGGAGTCAGACACAAAGCCTCAACACTGACCAATGCTTCAGTGCTGTCACTGTTCAAAAATAGGTAAAATCAACTAGAGCAACAGAGATCAGGACAGTGATTACCCTGGGGCGGGGATGGGAGGAGCGGTGGAGCCGCTGAGGCACTGGGGGTGTCTCTGTCTTGGTGCTGGTTGTGAGACCCAGCGTGGGCATCAATACACCTTCATGCAGCTGCACGTGTGTTCTGTTCAATATAAGCTCCGCACACTCCAGCCTCCCTGGCAGCCATGTGTGACAAAAGACTAAATTCTGGCCTATGAGATATAAATGGAAGCTGTGTGTGCACTTTTTAGACAAGGTCTTGAAAAGAAGGAATTGTAACCTTTTCCCCTTCTTTGAATACAGATGTGTGGCTGACTCTGGAGGAATTGTATTGGATAACAGGGTGAGGTGACCTTGGAAATGAATGCCAAACCCCACATGGCAGAGTGAAACCATGGAACATAGCAATAGCCCTGGATAACTCCTTCCAGACTTCTTGAAAGTAAGAGAAATAAATGTCACTTTGTCTAAGCTATTGTTACCTGGGGTTTTCTGTAATAAGCAGCCAAGCTCAATGGTAACTGAACAGACACCATCAAAGTTAACTGACCAGCAGTGGGAAAAGCCTTAGGAAGTCTGCGGAGGTACACTGGACAGGGATACAGAGGAGGGAGGGCCATTACTATTTCCTTTGTTTAGGCAAGGGATGATATGCCCAAATTAGGGCAGTGGTGGGGATGGGCCCAGAAGAATCTGGGCGGTGAGATTGAATTGAGCATGATAACCAGAACAGTGGAGTAAAATGCTTTCAAGTTTCCAAACCCAGGCATAGGAAAATAGGAATTCTGTTAAACACAGTTGGGAACAGGACAAGGTATCTGCGAAGCTAGATAATGACCTAGATTTTCCTTTCTTGCTCATACCCTAATTTTATGATTTCTTTTTATACCTACACTAATTTCCACTGGGCCGTTGCTAATAAAGAACTGCTTTTAACAAGTCTGATGGGGAAATTTGGGGGGCACAAAGGGAAGCCATTAATTATGAACTGCTTTCAAAAGCCCTGAGCTCTCACAGATCTATGCTGAGGGAGATGCCACTCATTACTCCTAGGGGGATAGTCAGAAGGCCATGACTCAGGGGTCTGGTTACCTGCCTAAGGCAACAGGGTTCATCTGAGGCCTGGATTGAAGTTGGGCCTCCTGGCTCCATAACATGAGCTCCTAATCCCAACATTAGACTATTCATTAGGTTGTCTCTGTGTGACACTATCACAACCTTCACCTTTAGGGGGACAGCCAAGAAGGCAACAAGGAAACTTGGCCTCACACCCAGTGGGCCTGAGTCCCAGTTCAGCTTCTAACATAGCTAATTCGCACTGTGATGTGTTGGTTGTGTTCCTGACAATTCCAGCAAGCTGAAACAGAGATAGGAAAGTGAAGTTACTGTTTTGAAGCCAACAACTTTGTGGGAGTCTTGGCCTGTAGAGATGTTGCAAATGTAATGAGTACGAGTGATAGCAAGTGGCAGCAGACATCTCTGGGTTCCCAGGTGACTGGAGCAAAAGTGCTTGGATGTCTCTTCCAGAACTTTAAGTATTTATTGTCACACGAAAAAAACAAGAAACGGTTCCATCTGACCTCAAGAGGATCTCAAAGAAACGTCTGCTACACATTCAGACTAAATCTACTCAGAAAATTAACCATGCCATACCAAAGCTTGTCCATCAGACACATTCTGTGATGTCTCTCTATGCTTTAAATCATTCAGAAGAGGTTCCAGACAGTGTGTTTCTGTCCCCTTCCCAAAGACTAAGGATAGTAAGTGAGACAGTTGGTGGTATTCTCAGCTCTGGGCTTCGGGCAAGCAGTATTTTTTCTTTTTTTTCCCTGAGAGGTTTGGAGTTTTAAAAAATGAAATGTTCTTTCCTTCCCTGGGTGCCTCAAAACCCCCACAGAATGTAGTAATTCTGTATTTCTAAGGCAATTTGAAAAGCCACAGTAAAGTAGCTGAAGGGTAGGGTTTCCATTCCTTTGTGTGGTTTTATGGTTAAGTAACCTTGGGCAGGTCCCTTATGCTAAATTACAAAATTCTTTGTAATACAGAACTTCCTGAGGTCCAAGCTGCTTAAGGAGCTCAAATACTTCACATATATGTACAGGTTTAACCCTTACTTCTTAATGTGCACTAGCAAATATCATTTATTGAGAAAAACATATGAATGACTGTGTATTGTTTTCTCTGAAATTAAACATTTTAGTGCCAAAACATTCAAATTTTTTCTAAACTTTTGGCTGAAACTCCGGACTCCCTAGCATTACACTGGCACATTTTATACAAAATTCATTAACTTCTTAAATTGTATTCAATGACATCTTAATGGAAATACTTCTTCATGAAATAATTTTCCTTGACCACCAACAAAGTCCAAAATATTGAATTCAATGTGGTTCCCAACATCGTATCAACAAAAGCCATTCTGTTCAAAACATGAATTTTTTTAAGCAATTAAAAATTTTATGTGTAACCAAAACCACTGATTGAAAAAGATACCTGCACCCCTATGTTTATTGCTGCTTTAGTTACAATTGGAAAAACATGGAAGCAGCCCAAATGCCCAAAAGTAGATGACTAGATTAAAAAGTTGTGGTACATATACACAATGGAATATTACTCAGAAAGAAAGAAACACATGTCTTTTGCAGCAACTTGGATGGAGCTGGAAAAGATCATGCTTAGTGAGATAAGCCAGAAAGAGAAAGAAAAATACCGGATGGTTTCACTCGTAGCAGGAGTATAATGGACCAGGCAAGAAAATAACAAAAATAATGAACAGCCATATACCAGAGACATTTTGTGGGGGTGGAGTGGGGAATGGGATCAAAAACGGGGGAGGGGGGAGGAAGGGTGGTGCACGGGACTACGGTGATGGCACACGGGTGACTCGGTGATGGGAAACCGTGGGGATTACAATTGAGATGGGGAAAAAAATGTACAAAATGATGTAAAAATAAACTATTATAAAAAAAATTATGTGTAATAATGACACTTCTTTGATGAAATCGAGTATGGTAGGACTTAGGGGGCCAATGAAATGGACCAAGGAGGATTACTGGTGTGTTGGTGGTACCCTGGTATGTAGCATATATCTGAAGAAAGATACATCTATACTCCTAAATTAAAAATGTAAAAAACGATAAAACAAAACGAAGTGTATTTAAAACATAAAAAAGCGTTTTCATATTTCAGTATCAGTATGATGCAGGGTGACTCTGGCTAATTGTTAGTTCTGTCTGTGAGTTCCTGTCTGCTACCAGGGGCTCCCAGGTTTCACTTCTGGTCAAAACTCATGCAAGAGATTAACAGTAGCTCCCAGATCTGAAGATGGAGCTGTATTTCCCAAGCAGCGGCAGACCAGCAGCCCAAGCTTACTCTCTTCTGAGTGGGAGGTATCGTGATGTCCTACCTGGGCCACTTCCCTGAAGGTACCTGCGAGCCTCCTGCGGTCATTTCAATATTCCACCCCAGGATTAGGTTTTCACATAGGAGGCTTCCAGCCCTACCAAAAGTCCTGAAGCAAGGATCTAAAATCCTGGCTACCTGCTAGAAATAAAGAAAACAGCAATCCTTCAATTAATATGGCAAAATAAATAAAACAAGCACCTCGCCATCTCTGCATCTCCAACTTCTACCCACCCAGGTCAAGATCTAGCTTCAACCCCATGCAACAGCGCCCCCCGGCCCCCTACATGTCACAGCGTGAAGTCTGTGTCTCCTAATTATCACAAGCCACTGTGGCCACGAAAGTAGTGATGGGTGCCAAACTCCGTCAGGCGCTCCTTCGCGCGGATTCCCCCTTCCCAGAGCCTGCGCTCCAGCAAACAGGCCTTCTGGCCTCCACAGACCAGGGGCAGTCCTCGCCCACCCGCGCTCCCCCTGTGAGCACCCCCTCTTTCCCCGCTGGAATCCGCCTAGCTTGGCCCAAAGGAACCCCCAGGGGGCCTCCCTGGGCTCCCTAGTGGGTCAGAGCACTCAGGGCGGCCCCGACTCCCCTGGCGCTGCCCTTCCAGCAACTGCCCATCCGCCCCGACGGCCTCATTTCCGGAGCCCCGCGCCCAGCCCAGGCCTCGGGGCTCGCGGCGTGAGTCAGCACAGCAGAGTCCAGCCCCCCGACCAGCCGAGCACCGTCTAGACCTCGCTGGACAGGGGCCCTGCTCAGGGGACCTGTACAACTCGCTCGTAATGCAGCGAGTTATCACAGACGCGAGGCGCACGGAAAGGGCTCGGGCCTCCCCGCGGTGGGCAGCGCGGCGGCCGCGCGCCGCGACGCCCGGAAGCCTCAATTTCCCTTCCGATCGCGACCGCGTCAGTCTAGGCACACACAGCCAAGAAGGCAACAAGGAAACTTGGCCTCACA